GTTGATGACATGCATTACTGGTGCCCTCTTCTACTTCCGGGCTCTCTGCTAATGACATCACGGGCTGCTCGTGGTAGAGTAGAGTGGAGTATATCTTTAAAGACCTCTTAAAAACACTTATTGACCACAAAGGCTCAAACTGACTAAAGAGAGGATGAGAACTATCTGCTAGAATACTCCTCGCCACCTTCTTTGTCCTTTCAGCGTAGAAAGCTTCTGTATCCTACCTACTATTTTACTTGCCATTACCACAATTCTGGACAGTTTGTTCTTGGATTTGCAGTTTAAATGATCGTACAAGGCAGGAATATGAAAAGTTAATACACTCTCAACAATGGATTTGTACACTAAATGATTAAATGATTTGAAATGATTACAATAATTATTGTACCTTGAGGCAAAGGATTTACTCAAATGATTTTAGCATTTTCAACTTGTTACAGGGCTGACCTGAAAATCTCAATCTTCACCCAGATGCATCTACAATATGAAACAAACAAACAAACATCAAATAACAAAGCTGGGCACACCAGTGTGAATACACATACAAATGCTCATTAAACCTCTTAGACTGACATTTATCTGGGGAAATTAATAATCTAGCACTGGCTCTCTGTTCATCTGTGAGCAGTGGAAATGTGGCTCTGGGTGTTCCTCATGCTACAGTTTACTGAGTCTACTACAGGCTACTAACAGAGAGATTTACATTTTGCCAAAGAGGTTCTCCAAATACCAATAAATCAGCATTAATAAAGGCAAAACACTGAATCGGTTATTTGGTCTTTCATCAAATTAATGAATGTCACACTCAATTGATCACTGTCTGTGAAGAGAAACTGCAATAGAGAATGTAAAATAATATGTAACTTGAAAATGAAAACAGATCAAAATTGAAGGTTTGTATTGTATGACTGGGATTTTGGGGGAATATTTGGTTGTCAGCCAGGGAAAACCATACAGTATTTCCAATCAGTAAAAAAAAAAGATATGGCACAATAGGTCAGAATAGACTGAAGGTACAGCGTTTAACAAATATATTGGCCAATAATAATATATGTCAAGCCAGCTCATTTACTTAATACTGTGCGATTTACGTTTCTATAAGAGGAAGGAAACTTAAACAAAGGCAGAGAAAATAACTAGATATTGCAAAGATGAAGGAAAATACAGTTTTCAGAAAAGCAATATGGGAGAATAAGAATCAACAAGAGAGGACAAAACAAAAAAGCTGTTAATAGTAGTTTCAGTAATTACAGCTGCAGTGTTTGTTTGTGCAGGATTTTATTTGGATGCCTTGTTTCATAAGTGTTAATAGAGGGAAAGGAACTGGTTTAGACAGAGCATGTTTAAATCCTAATATTCAGATGGGCTTTCTGTTTGGCTCAAACGCTTCTGACCCACTGCTAATTATCATAAAGGCCTGAATGTGGAAAAATAGACGTCATTCAATTCTGACTGCTGGCAACTGCGTTAGCATGCATGCTTTTTTGTTTGTTTGAAGGATGAGGCAGTTTTCCAAATAAGCCTTGATGAAATTTCCATTTATAGGAGGACGGTGGCCACTAATTACAGTCAAATCTCTGGAAGCAAACCCATGCCTCCAGCAAAAGAGAATACTTCATCCCCTAACCTCCTCTAATAAATGTTTATTCAGAGAAAGCTGTAATTATGCTTTGCATAGGGTTTTTTAGTACATAATGAGCCGAGCTACATCATTTTGTCTAAAATAGCGAAACAAGGTCATAATGGAATCAAATTGTTAATGAAGACAATATTACAGATTATGCTTGGCATTAAATTTGATTAATTTTTATCACTTGTCCCTTAAGATAGGCATGAAAATTTGACTTTGTGTATAGTTTTTCTTTTTTTTTTTTTCAGTCCTGAAGAATAAATTGTCTAAGAACTATGCTGAATATTTCCACACTGAGGGACTTCCACATTCGTTCATTTTACTGAATCTTCTCTTGCCTATGTTACTCCAAAAAAAATGTAAGTATTCAAGTGAATTGTAAACTGTAATCAAGTTAACTCAACTTCTTAAAGTTCTTTCAGTAAAAAAGTGTCTTCTCAGCTTTACTAGAAGTGTTTGTTGTCTTTAGCTGAAAAAGACACACATCAGCTAAAGCCTCACAGATCATTGATGGACAAATGCATTTTGCAGAAGCAAACATGTAATTAAATGGCCATTGCAGGAGACTTCATACAGTTACTTTAGAAACGATTAAATATTCATACAGAAGACAGTGTGCATTTCCTCTGATTCACACTGAAAACAGCATAACTGGAGCACGCTGCTGTAGTTTCTGAGGAGTGTGATTGTGTTAAATAAATGAGCTAATTGGTGAAACCAGTGATGAAAAGACACAGGGTAAGGATGTTCATTTCAAACCATCAACCAATTAAATCAGTGAAAGTGTAAGGGAGTAGCAATTAAACACTAAACCTGTCGTCTGTGCACTTTAGTAATTACTGTTCATTTTCTGGCATTAGAGTTGGTTAGGGTGAACGAACGCAGTGCCATCAGTGAGATAAATGTGCTCCTTCTACAGTTTCTTTGGCGGTTATGAAACTCTTCTTGTGTTTAGCAACCGAAAGTTTGATTTTGAAATTTGGAGTCAAATTACAGCAGCTGAAAGCATCGCTCAATAACGTGTCCTCCGGTCTTGACTGATGCATCTCTGAGTTCAGGAGGCTGGAAGCAGGTCTCAGTATATTTCAGTCTGGAGAAAAGAAGCCAGCGACTACACAGCCGAGTACAGCAGAGACAAACACATAAAACACATCTCTTCTACTGTACCTTCTTTTGCCTCTTTCTTTTAACCATTTCCTTCATTTACTTCTTCCAAATGCTGAATTTGAAACATGATCCAAAATATGGAAATCAACTAAATCCAGGGTCATAGCTGATTCTGTTACTGTGTCTTAAAGTCATAGTTTACTTCAAAATGAAAATTCTGTCATCATCTATTCTCCCTTATGTTGTTTCAAATCCATATGACTTTGGTTCATCTTTGGAACACTAATTAAAGGGATAGTTCACCCCAAAATGAAAATTACCCCATGATTTACTCACCCTATCCCTTTAAACTATCCCTTTAAGATATGTTTTAATGAATCCTGAGAGATTTCTGTCGCTCCATTGAAAGTCTATTCACTCAAAACTTTGACGCTTAAAGAAATTGTAAATGTAATCCATATGAATCGAATCCAAGTCTTCTGAAGAGACACAATAGCTTTATATGATGAACAGATTTAATTTAGGCGTTTATTGACATATAAACATTGATCAACACACAAACATAGAGCTCATCAAATGTAGTAAACACGCTCAGACGTGTTACTGCTAAATCACAAAGCTAAATGAAAAGAACACAAACTTTGCCATCCGTTGCCGCATTGCAGGGAAGTGATAACGATTGTGTTTTTAAAAAAGACACAGCCGAGCGTGACGTCACATCTCATTTGTTGCAGTATCCAAAGTAAATCTGCATGCTCAAAGTCTAGCGTGAGCGTCTGTTCAGTGCAGGATTATTCAGATTCAAACACAGTCCATGTGGTGACCAGTGATTACACTGGTTGTGTCTTTCTGGTTCACTAAAAAGAACTGGACAACTTACAGAAAGATGTGTTTTCTTGCCGTTATTTTGCAGTAAAGCTCTTTTTATGTCGTCACATTGAAGCGCTGCTGCAGCTTTGCATTAGAATGTGAACAGTCAAGTCACCTTTATTTATATAGTGCTTTTAACAATACAGATTGTGTCAAAGCAACTGAACAGCATTCATTTTGAGTCACAACAGTCACACGATCATTCTGTTGTTGGAGTTTAGTTTCAACTCAGTATATATTTTTAGTAAGTCAAACTCTTTAATTCTGTAAAGCCTGGTAGGGGAAATAATGGAAAATTCACTTTTTGGGAAATGGAACACATTACTGAACCTTAGACAAAATCTTTAGAATCTAAAAATATCAGTATCATATTTGATACATCAGGCTTTTATGGCTCATATAGTCTGATATACTGAGAATATGGAGGATATTTCTGCTGCTTGTAATGTAAATCAGTGAGATCTTTATAACAGTAAGCAGATACTGACATAACATGATAATCAATCAGAGACAGAAGCATGGAGTAGATTGTGTGCGACAGGCTCAACAGCAATGTTTTGATTGTGTCGATTATTTTGAAATTTGTGTATCAATTATGATGCAGTAGAATTTATAGGGTTAAAAAAGGTCAAGGAAAATGAATTCTCTCATGATATGACCCTTGAAGGGCTTTTTTTTTCTTTCTGTGAGTCCATTAAAGGGCCGTTTTTGGTTTTAACTTTGCTTTCTCATGCACTTACTAAAATTGGAGGTCAAAGCAAATCCAATTTAGGAGAAAAGCAAACCAAGAGTACAAAGTAGTGCTATAGTCTAAATATTAAAAACAATGCATCTAATCAGAGCGACTGGGCTGATGTGTAATCAAACAGTGATCAACAGAGGAGAAAAAAAACGGAAAAGAAATCAGAGGAAAGAAAAGAAACAAAAGAGACAGAGAGAGAAGTGAGATGAGCAGGAGATCAAAGATGCATTGGGTTTCTTTATCAAATGTCACCGTATGTAAATGAAGCCGTCAGGAGCACAAACCACACACATGATAAAGGCTTTTAATCTTCTTGAAAATGCCTGTCATGAGGTGCTCATTTAAATAACTCAAGACACAGAGTCTATAGAGAAAAACAACAGTCTGTTCTGATGAAGAGAAAACACATCAAGCTCCTGCAGTCACACGCTTCAGGACCTGAACACTGCTTCACTCAGGTCCAGTATAAGATGCTGCACACAGCTGCGATTCTTCTGCTGTAGGATTTTAAATATTACACGGACGAGCAGCATGGAAAAGCTTGTTTAGTTGATGATGATGTGCAGATCAAAGCTAATTCAGCACTGATGCACTACACCTGAAGTCTTCTCAAGACATATGAAGCTTGTGTGAGAGACACACTGAAAGACTGGTTATTCTCTAAACATCTCGGCCTTCATGCCATTTCAACACATACTACTCAAAACTGGCATATTGTGATGTTGATGAGTTTCAGTGATTTCCTCAGTTTGCTTCTGAAGAGCCGTACAGCACGTGAGCTGGATATAGTACTTTTCTGCTGTTTCCCAAAAGAAATCAAATCCTAACTCTGTCTTTTATACGGACATGTTTCAGAGAGGCAGAAAGCACAGATCATCCTCCATTAGCAGCACTGAAACCCCGTGTTCACTAATTCTGACATGCACTAGTGTGTTTGTCTTCTCTGTTGATGTCATTTGTTCTGATAACAACAGAAAACACACAGAGAAGCAGCGGCTCTCTGGAGTTCAGAGGTCGGTCAGTGAAGCATTAACCAGCCGCCGTAAATCCCTCTCAATCATCACGGGTTTCAGCTTTGCCTCAGAGCTCAGAGTCCAGCTCCAGAGACCGAGCTGATGTCCACTGCAGCGGCGTTCCTGAGCGAGGTCCCGGGATGGTTTCTGTGGACGGGAGTCTTCTTCCCCGTGACGGCTCTCCTGCTGCTGCTCATCGCTCTCCTCAGCTGGAAACTCAGAGAGAGTAAGACTGTCTTACACTGACGTTAGCCATGAGAAGCAATAGGGAAACCGGGGAGACGTAACATATACAGTATATACATTACCATTCAAAAAGTTTGAGAACATTTAAAGGCTGCATTTATTTAATTGAAAATACAGTCAATACAGTAATATTGTAAAATATTATTATAATTTAAAACAGCTGTTTTCTATGTGAATATCTGTTAAACTGTAATGTATTTCTGTGATGCGCAGCTGTATTTTCAGCATCATTACTCCAGTCTTCAGTGTCACATGATCTTCAGAAATCAGTATAATATTCTGATTTGCTGCTCAAGAAACATTTCTGATTATTATCAATGTTGAAAACAGTTGTGCTGCTGAAACTGTGATACATTTTATTTTTCAGGATTCTTTGATGAATAGAAAGAGAAAGTTACTTTTGCAACATTATAAATGTCTTTACTGTCACTTGTGATCAATTGAATGCATCCGTGGTGAATAAAAGTATACATTTCTTTCAGAAAAAAAAAAACTAACTGACCACCACCTTTTGAATAATAGTGTTTGTGTATATACTGTATATTCCCAACATAACTCAAAGTCTCAATGAAAATAACCATGAATAATGAGTTGAGTGTGTGTATGAAAAAAGTACAAGCAGGACCTACATTATATTTATTTGCAATATGTCAAAAGTGCATTTACTAAAACATATTTATGAGCTGATAATTTTAAAAACTTCAGCTAGATACTTCAATGAAATAATATTGATTACATATTTTTAAAATTCAATCTTACAGTTAAGTTTCATGATTTTTATAACTGGTGATAAAACCATCCCAGCCTTGTCTGGTAGCTGCACTAGCATCTGTTATTCATGTTAACAATGCATCATCATCATCATCATCATCATCATCAACTTAAGACACCAGCAGGAAATACTGGATATGC